GGGCAGGGGGTGTCAACACTGTACCTGCACATGTCAGATTACAAAACCCAAGATAAGTTGAAGGCCACTGTGGAAACTAATGTTATTACCTGATAATAACGTGTGTTGCGGAAATATTTGCTTTCCAATTCCCAATTAAAACATTTAAACATTAGTGATCAAAATTATTCAGTGAAACTCGACCTTTGTTCTCTGCGTAATGACTCGAAGTTTCATGACCTGTATTTGGAGCAAGGCTGTCAGACATTTAACATTTTAATTAGATTAATCATAGGGTAGCTGTGCATTAATCTTGATTAACTGAAACAAAATTAATCACAATTAATCAGGAATAATCAAGACAAACCAACATTCCTAAATATCGAACATTCGTAAATTAACCTGATTTAATCCCAGGTAGCTGTGGATCATGGTTGCAATTAATCATGATTATTGATGATAGTTGACCAAAACTGGCATTTATTAATTAATGATGCAATAATAATTGGTCTAGTCCTTTTGCGATACTTTTGGCAATGATCTTGTCACTTCGTGCTATTTTAAGCTCAAGCTCCTTGCATGTGTATCTACTGTGTATTAGCACATTGTTTCCCAAAGACCGGGTCTCAACCCTTAAGTGGGTCGCAAGAGATTTATTTGGCCCATCTCGCATGTTTCCCCAGGAGTTTAGGGTTAGGGTATTCCAATATAGTGGAATTATGGGATATACAACAACTGTCATTCTGTTCGTATGTTTAATTTTTGACTCAGACTAATTTCACAAATTAACAATTTGTGTTACTTGACAGCCTCGCTTTTTGCTAAAAGATACTGGTATTATCGGTGTTGAAGTTGAAGCTGTTCAATAAACCTTTTCACTTCCTCTAGTTTGTGGGGAAAAAAAACACCTTCAAGGAAATGCATCAAGTACAAACTGAACCAGACAAACTTGCAATGCAGTTTTTTTATTGCAGATATTAGACTACAAGGAGAGCAACAAATTAGAAGGCTTTTTTTTTTTTACAAGCGTACATATACAAGGACTCTGAAGCTGAGTATACAAATAAATAACATTTAAATGATCGGTCCCCGTGCCCTTTACAGATTTACAGAAATACTGAATTCCACCCACGTGTCTTCAAAAGAAAAAGTGAAAGACTTGAATTCAATCTTAGATCCTTTGCGGTGAATTAAGTATGAAGCTAAAAGTAAGCGCACACGAAACTCCACATCCCACAAGTCAACGTATCAGTGGTACAGACCTGCTGTAATACAAGGAGATTATGTGCTTAACATTAGCCTATAAGTGGGTGAAGAGGCGTCCCACTATGAAGCATCATATGCTTAAAGTGTAGTTAAACACTACACGCTAACTATATACGGTACGTTTATGGGGCAAAGAGTTGGTTTTTTAGACACTAATAAGCTGTGGGAAGAGTTCATTAGCAAACATGTCATCCCAAGAGCTTTCACAGCACAGGGGGGAGGACATGTCGCTGAAAGGGGACGGGGGACCTTCATATCCAGAGTCGCTGTAGGTGTCCGCTAGGCAGGCTTCCTTATCCAGGCTGCCGAGAGCTGAGGTGGGGGCCGTGGACAAGAAGTCATCCACCTGACTCTCACTGTCACAGCTGGGGATGACCACTTCCTCCGGCTCATCTTTGACGCAGACGGTCTCCTCCTCGACCACCACCTCGGCCACGGGGAAGGAAGCCTCTTCGATCTTCTCACTGTCGCTCTCCGAGTCCGTGAACTGCTCATCGCTAACCGGCTCCACGGGCTTGGTGTAGATGTGGTCAAAATGGATCAGTTCATTAAGGGCCTCCAGCTTAACTGATGGGGCCCCCAGAGGCGCAGGTGCGGCGGCAGGTACTGGGTTCCCCTCTCCGACCAGCAGCACCTCCGGCTCCTGGCACTCCTGCTCACAAGACTTGAGGAACAGCTCTGGGTCAAGGATGTCCAGAAAGCCCAAGAGCAAATCAGACTAAAAAAAAAAAAAAACAGAAGTAGATCAGCTTATTGACCTGCAAGCAGGTTGAGGATAAATCTGTCTGAGAGGATTGTGAAAGTCAACCGTCCTCAGATACCAACCTCATTGTCTGTAGTGTGAGGACCATCTGTATCCATTGAGAAGTCTTCAGATTTAGGGATTGCTGGGCCTGCACCTGCTGCGGAGGCACACATAGCCTGAGTGCTGCGGACTCAGAAGACCCGACCCCTAAACCTGCATCGTTCCCGGTGGGTAACAGAACCTGAACCTGTGGAAAAAGAAAATAAAAAATTTAAGACTCAAATTCCAAAAAAAATCTAAGTCCCAACCCATCAGTGGCATCTGCTTTTAGTCTTACCTTCTCTTTTGAGTCAAGGGTATCCAACCCAAGTCTCTGTCTCAGTTCCTCATTTTCTGTCTGTAAGCCACTCGTTTTATCTCTGAGCAGTCTGTTTTCAATGTGAAGTTTCTGATTCTGGGGGGGGGGGGGGGGGGTTAAAGACAGTTATAAACTCATCGTGTCTAAAAGTTTAATGAAAAAATAAAAAACAGTTTCATCATGATGAAATTACCTCCAGCTCCAACTCCAGGACCTGCTGCTCCAGTTCCCCCATTTTGGCCTTTTTCCTGTCTCTGGCTGTCTGGGCTGCGACTCTGTTCTTAAGTTTCCTGACGGGAAAGAAACGAGCGTTCATATTGTGAGTTGGGAAGGAAAAACATCCCCCTCAGTATTTCCGTAATGCTGACTAAGTTCATTGACATCACTTCAGATCACAGTACTGCGCAATCACCAGCCATGTTCCTGCCACGCAGGCAGGCATTCCAGGATCTGTGTCCTGTTCAGTGAGCCTTTGAACCGGGCGGGTCCGGTTTAAATATCCGGATGTCCATAACACTTAGAGGATATTTTTGACACACTTCTTATGATTCCTAATACACGTGCACATTAAATGTGAACATTCTTTGTCCTTTCAGTTTATCGATTGATACTGTTCGTTTAATAATCAATAAAACGGGCGTGGCCCCGTTCTATTTACACAACAATGGTAATCGATAGTAATAATTTACAGGGCTTAAATATAGCATTTTATGAGTGTAAAATAAGCCAAACATACCTGCGAAGTGCTTTCTCTTCCGGACTTAAGTGTGTGAGCCTCTGTCTTTTTCGTACGGGAGGCCCCGCAGATGAGTTCGAGTCGGAATCCGACGACGCCAGGTTGGCGGATGACGGTAAGACGACAGATAAAGGCCGGCTGAAGCCGGTCTGTGAGCCGCTCTGTTTTCCGGATATCAGGAGCACTTTGTGTCCCGCCCCGGTGCCTGCTGCCACTACTACCATGTTGAAATATCCAACTGAAGTTGTGTGAAATCAGAAATAACCAAGTATCCTTTGGAATTACAATAGAAACCCTAAGGTTTCCCCGGAACAATCAGTCCGATAATCACTGCTCTTGCTGATCCAGAGTGGCTGCGTCTGAGATCTTTTTCTACTATCGTGGTGAATTGTGATTGGCTGCAAGCGCCTCTGACGCAATAGCTATGACGTTTGTGATTGGTTGCTCTGCTGATGCAATTTTGCATATGGAGTTTCTCTTGTTTGCACAATTTCAGCGTGAAGTTGACCCAGCTCCTTGTAAACGCTGTACCCGTTAATACTTTGTTTTTTTGTGTCAAATTTCCACTTTTCCTATGAACTTTTCTTCACTTAAATGAGACCTACTGATGCGACAAATAAACATCCCAGGATGCACTTTTACACACACACTCTATTATACAATGCATTTCAACATTTCCGAAAGTTAACGCAAATTAAGACACTGATGTTGCATATGGATTGAATCAAATTTGGGCCTACTCCATCTATGTAGGGTATTTACTGCCCATTTATCTAGGGACAAGAACAGAAGAGTAACGTTGCTTTGTGATCCCTGGAGAGTCAAAGATCAAACAGATTAGAACGACTTTGTTGCCGCAAAATATTTCCTTTGTTCTTTCATTCAATCATTCCAATATCTCCCTATTATTCTTTCTTTCTTTGTCTTTGTTGATTTATTTATTTAAAAGCATAAACAAACATGGAAACCATCAGGGACACGATTGAGTTAAATACAGAAAGAATAGAAAAGAAAGAAGAAAAAATATCCAATTAAAAAGAGGACATTATGGATATACACAGAGGAATTTCTGTCATGTGAAAAAGTCACAGTCATTTAGACATGATGTTCTTTGTCAACTGTCTTGTGGTTTTACTCTGCATCTCGCAGGTGTTGAATTAAACAAATCAGAACCAGTTTTGCTACTGTGATGTAAGGTGTGACTTAAGTCAGACCTACTTTTCAAACCTCCAGCACTCGTTTTCAAACCGTCGTCTTTAGTTAGACCATAAAGTTCTATAAATCGATGTGCAACCCTATCTGAAAATTGTTGTTTTTGACTGGGTCTGAATTTACACTCAACAAAATCGTCATCTAATCAACCAACCAACCATCTTTCCATCCAACTAACAAACCACCTAAACTAACTAACCATCTTCATATACAACTAATAAGATAGATAGATAGATAGATAGACAGATAGATAGATAGATAGATAGATAGATAGATAGATAGATAGATAGATAGATAGATAGATAGATAGATAGATAGATAGATAGATAGATAGACAGACAGGCAGGCAGGCAGATAGGCAGGCAGACAGACAGACAGACAGACAGATAGATAGATAGATAGGATCAATGTACTTCAACAACGTGTAGAACCATGTGATCGCTTTTCGTCACGTGACTTTGATCCTTCCGTCAACAGGCTGTCATCTGTTAACAGACCTGTGTTGGAAATGAACACTAGAAAATGATCAATCAAATCCTCAGTCATACTTCAGACTCTTTGTTTGCTCTGAATCCACATGGTCTCCAGCCACCGTTGCTGTTTACGATTTGTGTTCCCCCTCAGCCTCATAGTTGTGACTCAGGCGGAGTAACTACTGCACCAGAACAAACACGGGGCCTGCTTACAGAGAGCTTTACCAGCTCCACTGAATCAACATCTGAGAAAGTGAGAGCAGGGCTTTATGGTGCTGCCTTGGCCACACAAGGTTGGTGTTTGTTTGACTCCATTTACATCACACTTTAATTCCATTACCGTTTTAATAGAAATGATTATTCCTGAAGTTGAATTGAAAAGCACACCAGCTAAAAAGCTTCCACATTTGACTGAGGTTAAAATATAGACTTTTTTTGCAGCAGTTATTGTTGAAATGCCCTGTTAGTAACAGTCACACAGTGAACTATGCTGTGGGGATGAACTTCCCTAAAACGGTACCAGTTTTCCTGTGTCATGAAACTTGGTATTTCGCGTTGTGGTTTAGGAATGAAGAAGTTTTGTTTTTTTTTCTGATATTTGTTGGGGTTTCTGTGCTAAAGTTACATTGAATGGTCAGAATACTGATCAGTTGTAATTATATAAGTATAATGATAATAATTACACATAAAACTATCTGTAGTACTATATAAGACTGGAATATCTTTTTATTATTTGTTTACATTCAAAAGGCAAATTACATTTAATTTTCTTTTACTTCTATAACACAACATCTTCACTACAGGACTTAAAGGATTACTGTGAAATACTTGTTTCACTCCAAGGCAGTGCACTGGGAGTACTAACAGACAACCCACTCAGTACTTGATGTGCTTACATAGGTGTAACAGTACACTGCACATACAAACAGTTAACACACTTTGCATACATGTGAGACAGAGGGATTTAGGACTTTCCAGATCAGCAGGACTGTTGCTGCCTGTCTTAAGTATGTCCTCAGAAATACTTCAGTCAAACCCTACTGCAACAACTGGCTACACACACGGCTACTGATCAGTGACGCAGTAGAAGAAGATGTTAAATGTGATATAATCTACAGACAGGTGGCGCATCTCAAACAAAAATCTAGCTATTGTCGATATCATTAAACAATGTCTCCATGCGACCCATGCTAGCATTGTATTGTTCATATTAAATAGCGCCCTCTGTGATCAACTGGTGAACCTTTTGGCTCCAGTTGATTGATGGATTTTTTTTTTGTATAAACTTTCTTGATGCCACCTGGGGAAATGTTTGCGTTAACAGCAAATCTGCTGTAACAGACTTCCCAACAGGTGGCGCCGAAGTATATGCATCTTGAACCAGCAATGCTCACATATCAGTTGAACTTCATAGACTCTGATGTTCCCTCTGTACAACGTTGATACCATAGTTTTGAAGCAGTGCGGGTGCGGAACATTTTTAAGCTGACAGGTGTGTGATGCTACTTAAATACACAACCACCACTTATTAGTGTTCGCAATTGGACTTTCTGACGTCAGTACTCTGGTCACACATTGTAACACAATACTTCTAAAAGTCTCTTTTTTTTCTTCTGGACGTGGTGGCCTTTCAGCAGCAGTACTCTTCAACTCTGTGGTGAATGCCAACTGCTGTGTGTGATACAGTCTGTCATGTGACTAGTCATGTGACAACCAAGAAGAGACAAAGATAATACGTTCACTTCCTAAGAATTAATTTGGTGTTTTGGTCAAACATACCTTCATCCTGGAAAAACACGTTAGTTCCTGACGTACTAGCGTGCTAACACTTTTGTTACGTATGTGTTGTTCCTACTTTATAAAAGTGAGATCCTGCTTTTAAAGAAGTGATTCAGAAATTAGCCGAAGACTTCTGGTCTTTCAATTCAATTTCAATTTCAGTTTTGTTTATTTGACAAAATGTCAAAAATAAAGTTTGGCATTTGTCTGTGTTTTTTTTAAACAAATACATCTGATCTGCGGTGGTGAGTAAAGACAAGGAGCAATGGCCTTTATTTACAGTGGGGGGAGGGCATGGGTGTCAGCAGACTGAGCGTGACTGAAGGCTGTATTGTACACAGCTATAAGTAGAGAAGGAACGTTAACATTCATGAACAAAGAACGACACTTTTAACTTCTGCTCAAAATGTCATGTGACTGGCAGAGGGAGGTCAATGTGTTAAAGCAGAAGTGACATGTTTTTAAAAAACAAACATCTGGGTCACCGGTCTCAGGCATGGCCATTCTGCCAACAGCAGTGTATCGCTCCACTGCTGGGCTACTGATTTCGCTCAGCCTGGTGGTACAGCTTGTATTACCCATGACGTCTTTCACAGGGTGAGGGTTTTAACCTTAAAAATAAAAACACCCCATCAGGAATTTGACTTTTTATATATGACTGAAATGAGACAGAGGGTCAGTTTAAAGTTGAATCTCATTGTTATAGTAATGGGCGAGTCGGCCATTAATCATTGGTTAAACAGCCTAGATTCTGCTGGTGATCGTTAAACCAGTACTTAGACACGTACACACAGAAACTCTACCCACTGCAGGAAAAGGGATCCTCCCTGTAATCAGAGACTGGGATAAAGAAGAAGTAAATCCTAAAGGCCACTATTAAAACCAGACCAAACCCAGAGGAGAAAAACACAGAGATGTTGTGTCACTCTGTAATGAGGAAACACTCGTTTTGTAACATTTAATGACCCATTAGAATTAAAATGATCAGGTTGAACAGAACAACCTTTAATGACTGTGTCTGACTCAATGATTTGACAATGGTTTTTACTGCACCTACTGGAACAAACCGGTTATTCTCTCATCAACGACTCGATTCATAAGAATCATGGATGTCGATGACAGCTGAAGCTCTGACGGCAGCTCTTGTGCATGGCTGAAGGTTTTTGTTCCAACCAACCAAGAGCACATAGTTTGACCTATCAGTTGTCTAAAGACTGACACACTCAGGTGTGCTACTGCTTGGTTGGAACAAAAACCTGCAGCCACAGTGGCCCTCTGTGGAATGGTTTGGGCACCCCTGGTCATGAGAGTCCATTCAGACAACTTCAACTGCAACATCAAATATTTTTAACAATTTTTTTAATAAAAATCCCTAATTAAATTTAAAATTTTAATTAAAATTTAATTTAATTAAAATTAAGAAACAAAATAGTGAAAGACCTGTCTGAAAATGACAAACAACTTTGTCCAGGATAAAATTAAAAGTTAAGTATGTTTTAAAATCTTTAAAAAAATATTAAAATGTATGTACAATTCTTTGTTTACTACTTGTTTACTAATGTTTTTGAAGTGTCTATACACTTCCTGTCTTTTAGCCCTCGACTCTTCTGAACTTTCCCCCATGTTTGTTTTGGTTGTGGCGTCGCGTACGTCACAGGTAGCGTCCACGTGAAAAGCACACCACTGTTTAGTGGCAGCAAAATGAATGAAAAGGAATCTTTGAGACATTGTAATGGAGTGTTGATGAGGTCATTTTCTTTATTTCACAGCGTTAATCCTGAACTTGATCACATGCAGACGGCGTGAAGTACATCTTCTCACACCTGCTGTTATCTGACATCCTGGATTAAACCCAGCCCTGTACTCAAACAGAGACAGATTTAAAGGCCATCATTAAATGGTCTGTTGTGCCTCCACCACTGACAGGTAGGTAAAATATAAAGACAAACATTTTGACTCGCAGGCCACAATGGGTCCTAAAATTTGACGGGCGGGGGGGCAGAAATATAATGATAATATAAATTAATAATACAATTTGGAAAAGTTTGGTGGGCCAGATTAAAAAGTTAGTTTTCCCTAAATTTCCTCAATTTTAACCTGTATCTCAGTCTAATCCCTGGTTCCAAAGTTCTTTCAAAAATATATTTGAAAGCTTCTCCATTCCTCATGTCACATTCTGATCCGGCAGTGATCTGTTCACCCTCCATGAACGGTGACCACTTCCTGTACAGGACAGTTAAATAATTTGCATGTCGTTGTGATCACTGATTCGCAGCAGCTTTACTCAAAATCAGCTGCATGCATGATCAATCACCCACAATGAATAGCATGTTCATGTGATAGCGACCTTGATTTAAAACAGTGTCATCAGCGTAGAGTGTTCCTGGGCTTCAGCGGTCAATAATTGACCAATAACACAGAACAGAGCACTGGGGTGATTTAATGCAGTTTTGATACAGTTCCAATTGGTCAAAATGAATTCCTCTAGATCAGTGTTCTCAAACCCAAATGAGCTAGAGTTAGAGTTGCCTCCCGCCATTTCTTTGAAGGACCATAAAAATAACAGCAGGGGTCAGATTATATTATTTCTGACTGAACTTTGTGGTTCTATAGTGTAGTCTTAAACGTACAAGAGCCCAGATTTAAACCCCAGAGCAGTACTTGTCAAATAGTGGGGCGGGGCCCCCTGGGGGGATCACAATGAGGTGCCAGTGGGGGAGTATTACAATAGAATATGGAACACTGGACATAAATGTACCACTGCTGTAATGCTTGAATGATAACAAGCCTCCAGTCACTAGGTGGAGGCAACTCATACAGTGGTTTGTACAGATAAAATTAAACATGTTATCAGATTCTCAATAGTATTTCAATTCACGGGGGTGTTGGTCGGAGGGGTGAGGAATGTGTGAAAACATTTCTGTCCCCAAGGGGGGGCATGATAGAAAATAACTGAGAACCACTGCCCCAGAGGAACCACATGCTTAATGGCGCCCCCTATGTGGCGTTGTTCACTCTGTGAATTTCCACATTGTGGGATGAATAAGGAACAAACAAAGCTCAAATTACACCATTTCTAGCATCTGACTGTGTGCTTCAGTGTCTGGTACATGGGCTGAAAGTGGCCCATGCCCTGGGAGTTTAAGGCCTCTGTTCTGGATCTATCCAGCCTCTGGAGTCCACTCTCCGTCCATTAATTGTTGCTCTCACACACACTCGATACAAATGTTATTTGCAGACATCAGAGGAAAAGATTTTAATTTCATCTAAACACAACGCCTTAATTCTGTCATCGATGAAGGAGTGCTTTGCAGCATGAACAGCTCCACCTTTGTGTGCTCATCGGGGTGGGCACCGATGTGTTAGGGCAGAGCCCAACCGGACAATAGAGGTGAATAGGGTCACACCCTGGGATTGCAGCCAGCTGCAGGAGGCGGTGGTCTTCAGTGTTTGCCTATACCTCCTCCCAATTACACATCTCTACCCAAAATCCACTGGGGTGTTTGTTTGGCCTGCAGCGTTCCCACACCTTGAGCACCGTACAGTCTGATCACTGGATTCACTCTGGTAGCCATGTTACACATGACATTGTTGTGTCATTCTAACTTCCCTCTTTTGCATCTACGTATTGTGTAGTACTGAGAAGGAGTTTTATACCACAGTGACACACCATAGTTTACTTCCACGTCTGCTCTGAATTTTTCATGGCAGTTCTACAGCTCTTTATCTGACGGTGAGCGTGAGTTCCGTGTGTGTGTAATTGTGTGTACACACATGCAAACACGTCAAGTGATAAGGTTCACACTACTTTGGATGTGTGTAGTTAAACAGATGAGAATGACAGCAGTGTTGTTCAGTAGTAGTACACCAGCACTCCTGTAGTACTGCAGAAATATTCCTGTGTTCAACCACAATGTTATCATTGATTACACGGTCAAAGTTCAAGGCTCAAGGTTTCTTTATTTGTCATATTATTTGTATTGTATTTGCACATTTTAGTTAGAACAGAAAAATACTATATATAGAAATATAAAATATATAAATACTGTACACATAATAAAAATGTAGAATTAGTATATATATATCTATATATATATCACAAATTTGTTTAATAAAATGGTGGAAAATAATGTAGCAGTACCTCTCCAGACCACCTGGACGATGCAAAAAAAAATTAAAATTTAATTCAAATTTAAATTTGCTCTAAACTTGCCTGCTAATGTTGCTAACAGGGCAGAGCTCTGCATTAAAGTACAACTACAATACAACAACAACAACATGTGACCACCTTCAAACTGCACATGAGGCAACACATATTTTAACACATCTATTTGCAATTATACCGATCGTAAAACAGTTAAAATATAATTAAATTATATTATATTAAATATAATTCATAAGTATAGTAGAAATGTCAACCATCAAAACTAGACGTAGTTAAATGTCGCATGAGTATAAAAAAACCCCACCTCTTTTATTTACTGTCACCTGACTCTCACTTCCTCTTCCTGTGATATCAACTTACAAAAAAATTCTCTCTTGCCTAACTACAGGGTTTGGCTTATCTTTGCAGACGTCATATGTTGCACTGCTCTCTGGCGGTCTTACTGACACATTACACTGACCTCCGGGGTCAATAGGCTTTCCGCATACGACACAATATTTTAATTTTAATAATATGCATATGGTGAGATATGAAGAGATGTTTCAAAACACAAACTTAGTGCCGCCTGTTATCAGAAAATACGGAGAATTCTTCAGTAGCTTATCTCTGACATCTAGTGGCCGCTCGAGGAAAACCTCTGCCCTCCAGGACTTGACAGTTATCTGATCGCTTTTTCAACTTTTATTACTTTTTACTTACTAATTCTGAAAAAGAAGACTTGAGACATGCTTTTAATAATAACTAATATGGCCAAAAAAAATATTTTTTCTTACTTTTTTTAAATGTGGGAAGAATACATGATTTTGGAAAATTGCAAGCGATAAATACAAATAAAAATAAATACATTTTAAAAATTTAAGCTGTGAAATTTAGCTTACAACTTTTTAAATAATTAAATATTTAATACAAATTTAATAATATTTATATAATATAATTTTTATTAAAAATATAAATTAATCTCAGTGTGAAGACAGTAACAATAATGGACAGTATTTCATATTTAATGTGTGATTAGCCGACGCGGTGACTTTTCTACTGTCAACCGTGTTTCGTGTGCTAAAAGCTGATGTCTACGGTGACTTCAGTTCAGCCTCCGTCCATTCTGGCCATTTGTGCGTCTCCATAAATCACACACTCCTCTCAGTGCTCCCTCTCACCTCACACTTTAAACTAGTGCCAGACGTTCAGCAGCAGCAGGCGGTGAATTAAAGATTCACATTCTCCTCCATGGAAGTCAGCGGCCAATTACAGTGACTTCAAAGCTTTGATCCTCAGGTGTGCGGTTGCCCTGAGGATAAGAACGAAACAGAGGCTTGTCCAGAGGTAGTTCAGAAGTGGAACCACTATCTGCTTCACTCTGCTTTGGCTGCAGTTGTCACATAACTCCACGAAGCTGGTGCGTCATCCGGGAATCTGACTGTCATGAACCTGATAAAACAGAACCCAGACAAGACCAGGTGCTAAAACAAGAGATGGCGCTAACCCAAGCGCTAGCTTCTTTCCACTGGCTGTTTCGATGGGGTAACATTTAGAGTTCCTCCTCCTCCACATGTGTTCTACCTACAGATCCAGACTGATCTTATCATTAAGACTTTGATATCCCTCAAATAAATCACTTCTCTCTAAAAACTCCAGGCCACCTTACAGTTTCCACAGTCCAGATCTTTCAGTTATCAGGCTTTAGAAGCAGCTGCATATCATTAAAGTTATACTCTGAACTATCCTGAGCCCAGTGCCAGGGTCTGGATCAGGAAAACCCTAAGCTCTCATTGGCTTATACCTCAGGTTGAAATCCCATGGTACCTAAAGAATTTGTTACTGTCTAAAGCAGGGGTGTCAAACTCATTTCCACCAGGGGGCCACATTAGCAATACATTTCCCCTAGAAGGGCCGGTTGTAAATGGAAGACTGTATAGATCAGGGGTCCCCAACCCCTGGTCTGCGGACCAGTACCAGTCCATAGGTCATTTGGCACCAGGCTGCAGTGGGACACAGTGAAAAAAAAATACTTAATTTTTACTAATTTACTTCATTCAAAAAAAGTCCTGTCAGATCCATTTACTTGTTTTATTTTGAAAATTTAGTGATCCTTCAATGCTCAGCACCTTGGTACCGGTCTGTAGTAACGGGTGGTACTGGTTGGGGACCGCTGGTATAGATGTAACTACTCCATAACTGACTAATACATGTTTCTGCAATTGATTATTATTTGATTGATTATAAAATTGTTTAATTTCTTAGGTTAACTTTTTAAGCTCCCACGGGCCACACAAAATAGCTTGGCGGACCGTATTTGGCCCTCGGGCCTTGAGTTTGACACGTATGGTCTAAAGGAAGTTTTAAAGGAACTACTCCAGGAGCTAACTGTGCTGCTAACTGCCCCCACCGGCCAACCAACCTCTGTAGACCAATTTCCTCAAACCTATTTCCTGGGTTCCCATATTTTAAATGTGACAAACCTTCGTGACCCAAGTCAATAGAAATTATTCGTAAACTCCTGGGAAACATGATGTGAGACGACCCAAAAAAAAAACAACCCACCTTAGGGTCGCGACCCAGTCTTTGGGAAACAATGCTGTAGAATAAACAAAAAAATTTGAAATTAAAGACAATTTTCTTTGCTACGTCCCACCTGCAACAGCTTTGTGCATCCCAAGGGGGCCCCCGGACCCTACGCTGGGAACCACTGAGGTGAAGTCATTTTCTTGTACGTATTTGTAAATTTTTTTCTCTTAGAATGACAATAAAAAGTCGTAGTTCTTTTTAAATTTTTATCATTATTTTTTAATATGAACTGACTTACACCCTCTAGAAAGGCTATTATGTTTTTTTAAGTGGAATTAATCGCCGTAACTGTATTTTTAAAAAGTAGTTTTTTCTCTTAATAACAGAAGACAATGAAAAAAAAAGAAAGAAAAAGAAATCACAGGCGTTTTCTTCTTTTTTCCATTTCTGCTTCTTGATTAATTTTTTTGTGTACCGTGTGTGTCTGTGTACAGATTCCACCTATCTTAATCTTTCGTGAACATGTTCCCGCCTGTGCGACTGTATCGACTTCACCTGGTCCGTCCTCCTCGCTCCTCACAGCAGGTTACCACTGATGGAAGTCTTTAACCTCTGGGAACGTACCTGTCCTCACAGGCCTCGAACGTACAGGTGCCTCATTTCCAAAAAGTCTGCTCCCAGTCTCCCTCTCTTCCTCACTCCTTGCCCCCCCCCCCCCCCTCCACCCACATCTCCACCTCCCTAACTGCTGCAGCTTTAAACCCTGAAGTGAACTAGGGGCCTATTGAAATACCTCTCTCTGGTTAAGTCTGCACTTCAAAGTAGACTTTCACCCTGGAGCTGGATTTGAAGGGGGAAAGGAAAGGGTCAGGCCCTGTCTTCAAAGTGTCTATCATAAAGTTATGACCTGTTGAAAAGCTGTGGGCAGGACCAAAAGGAGTAACAGATGGATGAGGGTGTTTGTTCACCAGGAAGCTACATGGAAGGGTCTAGAAATTCAGAATAAATAATAATAATATTTTGAAATGAAACACATACATCTACCTGCTGTTAACTTTTACTCAGATGTTTTTATCTGGAGTATTTGTTTGTTTTCTTCCCTTCAGGTCATGTGAGTGGAGTGTACTCACTACTGACAGGTTTAAAAAAAAAAACAGCTCCTGGAGTTGATTATTTAAAATAATGTATATTTGACCCAATCTAGTATAAACAGTTCTATATAACCCAGTTAACTTTGAATCTTGTGTATTTAGCAATGTAGTTGTGGATTTAAGATTAGCAACCCTGTGTGCATTAGCTTTGCCTCTGCTCCAATAAAGTGTCCATCATTAATCATTCATACCTATTATATTTTAGTAATTTACTGTGTCTGTGTTTACTGTGTTTATTTACTTTGTATAGTATTCAAGTTTTCTATGTTTTTATGTACGCTTCAAACCAGCAGAGCCAGGTTGCACATTAGCTACGGCTGGAAATCTGTGTGTATTTAACATAGCCATGATCACTCATTTGTTTCTGTCAAATAAACTATAAATGATGTAAAAACATTGTTCACCAACAAGGGGAGGCATTGAGTGAAAATACATTTCTGTGAACAGTGAGCTAGCATAGCTGCGCTAGTTAGATGGAAAGTTTTGTTTTTTTTTCTGACAGCTGCTAAGATAAGAGCACGGTTGTGGGCAAATAATGCGAGTTTTCTTAGCATTGAAGCACTTCAAACTAACAACATCGAAGCAACACGAAAAATTTTGCTGATAGCATGGACACCACAGCTGAGGCTAGCTATGAAGTTAGCTTACATTAGCTATAAAGTTAGCTCTGGTACAGACAAACTGTGAAGTCAATGTCCTTAAGCTGAACAAACCTGCAGCTGCAGAGGAGAAACACACCAATACTGTACCGAGTGAGTACTAACATCTCATATATTAAGGGATAGTTTCACTTTTTCAAATTATTAAAAACAGGGGCTTATGTTATCAATTGCCTCACACTCCCATCTGCTGGTATTTTCTCCTACACTTCATTTGCAAACGTCCATGAGAGTTTCCCACCGGGGTTTGTGCCATGACATCATCGCAAACATGCAACAAACCCTGGGCGGACTAGATTCAATGGCGATGAAGGGCAGCGTCCCCCACAATCCGAGGGCCCCCTAATTGCTTTATGTAATATTTAAGCCCCAATGATGCACTTCTTCCTAGAGCCGTGATTGTAAACGCTCCTCCTCCTCCTCCTCCTCCTCATCTTCTCCTTCGTTCATTAAAGCATGACGTCAGGGCCTTTACAAACAAAGGGTCAATTCACAGAGGCTGGGAGAGCCCTGTTGGTACACATGGTGCTCCGCTGATCAAACACATTCAAATGTTCCCGTCGGGTATATTTAGTAACCCGTGGTCTGGTCAGTTTTTTCGTATTTATTTATCCAGGCCCATAATTCGAACACAGAACCACTTTCACAGTAAACTATAAAAGAACAGTCGCCACTACGGTGATGATGCTAAGTTTGTACGTGAGCAAGGTGGCTCCGAGTGACACGTGAGGAATTGGACTTGTTTAAGGTCATTCGAATCCAACCAAATTTAAACTCACTGATCATTGGAACTGCTCCTTTATTGTGGAAGAACACAAGTCCTAAATGAGGGGCAGTTATTACTCAGTGGGTGGAAGGGATTGTCATCCAATCAGGAGGTCTGGAGTTCCATCTGTGCCAATGTGTCCATGGGAAACAAAAGGTATTATCTCAGACATCTAACTTCCTGAAGGGAAGGGGGCATCAGAAAGGAGGGTATCTGGGTTAAAACCACTCCCAAAAACTGATGGAAAAAAAAAAGTATTACTTTGTGTACGTGTTGTAGTATTTAAACTTTTATGAAATCAAAATTAGCAAGGGGGGGAAATGGTGATAGTGGTAATCCTATAGAAAGGAGTCAAAGACATAGCTGGTTCGATTCCCAGTCTATCCGTGTGGAGTTTGAATATTCCTCCTATAATTTGAATATGCTGTAATTTTAAATTTTGGTTAAATCGCTAACAAAAAACACCAGGAAAATGTACCTGGAAAACAGGTACGTTTATATCATTGTTACCCAAAGACTGGATCGCGACCCTCAGGTGGGTCACAAGAGATTTTTTTTTTTTGGGTCATCTCGCATCATGTTTCCCAGGAGTTTACGAATAATGTCTGTTGACTTGGGTGGCAAAGGTTTGTGACTTTTCAAATATAGATCTCCAGAAAAAAGTTTGAGAAACACTAGTTTATATGAATGTTTACACTTGCTGATACAGCTTTCAAAAAAAGTTTCCTACTATTGGGGCTCAATATTGATTAATTTAAATGCTTTGTGAAAGAAGACTCTTTGTCTCTGTCAGTGAACAGCACAGTAAACCAAGGACGGACCCAGCCTTCATCCTTCACTGTCACCCTCTTCCTCAACGCTCCTTCAGCCTAAACATGCAGACAGCTGATTCCTTTCAGCACGGCCTGGGTTTAAACACTGCAGTAGAAGCTGAAGCGTCAGTAGAGAATCCACAGCTGCTGCCGATGCACATTGTGAGAAAGTCAAGAGTTTGGCTGTTGCGGAGTGGAAAATATTGGCATATCGTGAACATTGCTGTCCGCCTTTATTTATACAAAAATATAAACGCAATTCTGGAAGTGGGACGTCTGGAAGCAGGGAGACACGTAGCCACCAGCAGAGGGCAGGCTTGCAACAAAAACCAACATCAGTGTAACTTGTTGCTTTAATTCTTTTCGTGTGTCAGTAATAGACTAATGAGGTGAACCAAGTTCAGATTGAAGGTCTTTTCAACACCAACATGTACGGGTTTCATCTTTTTTTCTTTTTTTTTTTTACAGTAAGTATTTCATACACGCAGGAGAGAAACAAAGTGTTAAGTGTCACAAGGCAGATCTGAGACATGTGGTGTGGATCAGCATTCATAAACCAGAGTGACGTCCAGTGTAATCTGTGAATTATTGTCACGCTGGAGGCGCAGAAGAACTTCTAAGGTTCTGGCTCAGATCTGTTTTCCACTCACTGTTGTTTTTTTCCTCTTCTTTTTTCATTTTGAGTCTGAACACATGTTGACCATCCTGCTCGCTTCCAGAGGCAGCTGCATTCTTGACCTAAAAAGTCCTCACAGTTGGTTTTCATAATTACACTGCCACACGGCTGACAGCCCTTGTTTTCCCAGCTTTGCTGGACATCCATCAATGTGCAGAGCTGGCCCTCCGCAACCTTCGCAACCCACCTGAGTGGACCGTTCACTGGAGGCCAGGTTGACGGAGCTGTTATCAGATGGAGTGTTTTAAATGAACTATAAAGTCATGGTTGAGTGTTGAAAACCACCGTGAAGATAGAGGGTAGATTATTCTAGATCATTGTTTCCCAAAAACTGGGTCACGACCGTCAGATGGGTCGCAAGAGTTTTTTGTGGGGTCATCTCGCATCATGTTTCTTAGGAGTTTATGAATAATATCTATTGGGTCGCAACAGTTTGTGACTTTTAAAATATGGGTGCCCAGAAATAAAGTTTGGGAAACACTGATCTAGATACCCAAGGATTCAAACAAGAGTAGAAATACTGTGTACTACTGTATGTACTGTATGTCTCTGGTTTATTGTTCATGTCCTCAGTGCTTTATGATTAACAGCAGATGATTATAGTCAAATATTCCATAGTCAAATATACAATGACTAGTACATTGTTTCCCAAAGACTGGGTCGCGATCCTAAGGTGGGTCACAAGAGGGTTTTTTTTGGGTTGTCTCGCATCATGTTTCCCAGGAGTTTACGAATTAAATATGGGTCCCCAGAAAAAAACACTAGACTAGTAGACATGGGTTTCCCACAATAGCCCCCCCCCCTTTTTTTTATAAAACTATCTTTTTTTTAGCTAGCTTTGAAAATGTCCCTAATCTAATCTTATCTCTGAATGTAAATCACTATACATTAATTCTTAGTTTTGGAAGCTTTGCCTAGATGAACCTTCAATTATAATTTGTACCATCGTACATCAAGCACTAGGAATAAAACTAAACTGTGAAAGTAAATCCCTAAAATACAACATTCTTCTGTAGTGAAGTCCAAACTCTTTGTTGTCTTGACTTTTCATCTGGATTTCAATAATCAGAAATCAATTTTCTGGAGTTATTTAATTTTTTTTCATCATCCTGTCATCAACATGACATGATTCTGGTTTCTGCTGAATAATTCATAATTTGGATGTACACTTACCTCCTAACCACATCATGTCTGGACTTTCCAGGGAATTATTAATTGAGTTTAAAGGTATGATCTGTGGAACTAGTCTTGAAAATGCAGTGCTATGAGACAAACAACCATCCATCTTGTTGAAGGTTTGTTGTATTTGTATGTATGGGTATTCCCAATACTCAATTTTTCTTGGACATTCCAAACACAAAGTGGGGTGTGGATAATTCTGGAGAGTAGTCAAAATAGATAGATAGATAGACAGACAGACAGATAGACAGACAGACAGACAGATAGATAGATAGATAGATAGATAGATAGATAGATAGATAGACAGATTGATTGATTGATTGATTGACAGACAGACAGACAGACAGAGACAGACAGACAGATAGTCAGACAGACAGACAGATAGATAGATAGATAGATAGATTGATAGATAGATAGATAGATTTATTTTTTCTCTGATTAAAAACGTAGCCCGGGTAAATCCTGGCCCGTCTTGGCGGGGAAGCTTTATTTTTAAGGTGGTATGACAGCAGTAAAGTTGGGTAACTTGTGAAGTCTTACATTTCAGCGGATGCATTTAATAAAATTTAACAAAAAACAAGGTGGTTAACGAAAAAAATAAATAATCACAGATATGTGGCGCATTCCAAACTATTAATACTTTTTGTTCCTCCTCTCGTCTCTTCCTCGCGGAGCGTCCTTAACTGAGTGCTGGCACTGTGGAGTAGGGAGTGCAGGGGAGAGGGTCAGAATGATTGGTGGGTGGGGATAGAACCCTTCACAGAGACAGAGTAAAAAAAAACAAAAAAATCACGTGTTTGTAGATCAAAGGAGATCCGCTTTGTAGAAATGGAGCGGGGGGTGGGAAAGAAATGGGGAGGGTGAGAGAGAGAGGGAGTGAGTGAGAGAGTATGTATGTAGCCAGTGTAATTGACAAGGCTTGCAGTGGTGAAATAAAGACGCTTCAGCGCAGGCTCTGCTTTTTTTTATTGCACAATTCTGACTCTTTTGACGCATCGGCCGCGGCGAGCACAGGCCTGACTTCAGTTCCCTTCGTCCGATCACTTCATCTGTGTGAAATTATGTCCCGATCGGCGCAGATTCAGCCGGCAAGATGATGATTTTACCAAGAGGAGGCTCGGATCGTGTGCCCGACTCGGTGGTCCTGGTGATCCTCGCGGTCGCCGCTTCTCTCGTTGGTACGGTTCTGGCCAAGGACACTGCATTTGTGGAAGTGGTTCTGTTCGAGTCCAGTCCCAATGGAGATTATACGACTTACACGACTGGCTTGCAGGGACGCTTCTCCAAAGCTGGAGCCACAATCAGCGCGGAGGGGGAGATCGTTCAAGTACGTGCAAAGTGATTTTTGTTTCTGTAACGGCGGCGGGGGGGAATGACAAGCAACTGTCTGGATAAACAACGCTGGGACGCGAGTTGGGAATTTACCACGCTATGTCTCTCCAAACTTTTTTTTCCACGGGGGCTTGTGGGGTTGACCAGAGTTGTGTATCAACTCTCTATCTCCCTCCCTCTCCCTCTCTCTCTCTCTCTCTCTCTGTGTGAGTGTAAGCGGCGAGGATGGTACTAAGCGTGCGAGCATATGCGGTCACAAGATGGCTTCTATCTTGTGGAATTCATTCACAGTAAAAACATGATCTTGCAGGTTAGTCGTGTGTGACGCCTCTCCGCCCCCCACATCACGATCATCTCACCTTCTCACACCGCCGTTAAACTTAAAAAAAAAAACAAAACTCACAAACAAACGCACAAACTAGCGAAACTAAAGTCGTGGCTCCCCCGCCCGCTGCCGGGGTGGGGGGAGGAGAGGGGTGGTGGTAAACTTTCCCCCCTCTACAACGTGCTGTCCCCATGGTTCAACGTCAACCCTTTCATACCCTGGCCACTGTTTACCTTTGGTTTTCGCAGTGTTTCCGATTTGGTGGTGACTTATGGTCGAAACGAGACGTTGAAATCCGAAAAGGTTTGGTTTAATAGCGGAATAAGTCTGTTTTATTGACCGAGCCAGCGTGTAAACGAAGCCACACGGTCCGCCGCTGGGAGCCTGTTATCCATGTGAACACTGACTCTGAAGTTGTGTGATTTCAGTAATACTACTAATAACGATACTACCTTAGGGATTTGCTTGAAGAAACAAATCAGATAAATACGCCTGATAAGTTTAAGACATGACATTGAAATGTTCTTGGTGTCTTGAGTGAATGATCTTGTGTGAAGATGAATAATGTTGAGACAACAAAGAGTTTGGACTTCACTACAGAAGAATGTTGTATTTTAGGGATTTTTTTTCCCCGACCATTGAAAGGTGAACCAGCAGATGTTGATATGACTGATAATTTATTTACTTAAATCTTCTATAAATAATGCATTAATACAAGGTTGTTTCCTTTTGTTGACCTTTTGTAAAGCAATCAATGCGTCCTTGCTCGTTGCTGTCCACTTCAGGACATGTCAAATATGACACAGGGGCTGAATGTTTTAACAAACGATCGGGAATTCAACCACATCTTCAGGTCAGCAGAAATTGAGCGTATCATCTGAAGTAGGAAGGGACACATCTGTGAAGTAGCTCTGGCCTGAAAGATTGTTTTGCAGTTCCACTTCCACATGCACTGCTAGTTGGCCAAATCTGAGGTTCCTGGCTGTAAAAAAAAAATCATAGCAAAAGCTTCTGCTAATCAAGGCCAATTAATGGTCTTGAAAGACAGTACCTGAAGGATAAATGATGTGAAAATCAGATTGGATAGATATTGTGTAATGTATTGTATTTATATTTTAATGATGATGGGAGTTGTGCTTATTTTGACTATTTAGTTGCATTTAAAATATTGTCGTATCATCAATTTCCTGCTTTACTTACAGTAAATGTCAGTAAAACATCAATTAATTAATCCAATAGTTGTCTAGAAACGTGACTTGGGCCACACAGTGGAAAAGTGGTTAGTGTTCTTGCCTTTGACTGGTGGTGTTGGTTGGGTTTGCATTTTGTCTGTACATTGGTCTTCTCCGGTTACTGCCGCCCACTGTCCAAAAGCATGCATAATGATCAGGTTAGCTGGACACTGAACTGACCATAGGTATGAATGTGAGGGTGACAGGTTGTTTCTGTCTGTGGCCCTGTGCTGTACACTAGGACTGCTATGATTGGCTCTAGACCCAACCAAGTTGGTTGGTTCCAGGCATCAGTTCTGTGGGAGCAAAGTTGTGTTATTATGACTTGCCGTCTGTGACATAATATAAACTGCATTTATAGCTCATGTGAACACTGAGCTTAGGGGCCTGGCTGCATAAACAACTTTGGCAAATATCAAGTTAGAGTTTGAGTTTCTGCTTTCATTTGAAGTTAGGTCATTGCTTTATGGAAGAAAAAGTCTTCTTTACTACATTGCACACACCTTAAAGAGTCTAATCTGTTCTCACAGTACATCGTTTCAAGTTCAAATGACACCCTTACTCTGTTGTAGTATTTCATCAGCACTGCACAAATACTTACATGCACAGAGTTGAGTTGGTTTTTCATCTACACACTGGACATTTTGTCTCTCTTTTTCAATTGTCAACATTCCCTGTTCTTTCCTTTTCACTGTATCAGCCACGCTGCAACATCAATTCAGCACAGGACCAACTGCACGATTGTCTTTGTATGAAATTTTGACTTTGAAAGAGAAAGGAAGCGTGGGGATCAAATTATTGGATGCTCAGCACAAAAATGGGCCCAGTTTGCACTCAGTGATGGCCATTTGGCGCCACTTTGTAACCGCACAGAACTGTCGGACCTCAGCTTTACATCGAAAACCACATCTATTTAGGTTTGCTTTCTTTGCTAACATAGATTCTGACCACTTAGAGGCGGCTTATATTTTGTGAGGCTATAATGAGTGGCAGTCTGTCTAGCAGAGCATACTATCTTGAATTTCTAACAGAATGCACTCTTCCAAAGATTTATGGAAGCTATAACAGACAGCAAATGTCAACCTAAGGACCTAAAGAATATAATTTTAAGCTATATTTTACCAACATGCAAATTCTTTGCTCGTGATGTAAAATTCCTTTTCAATCTGTTGGGAAATTACTGTGGCGTCGTAACGGATAGAGCTTTGCTCTGTAATTGGGTTGAAGAGCAATATTTAAATGCTGGTGATTTTACTTGTCCACAGTGACCTCTACAACCATTGCACGTCGACTTTCGGCTTTTAAGGTCTGAGCCCTCGACGATGAGTGAATGGGGCATTTGATTCGATGTGTCTGAGGTTTATGGGGCCTTATAGTTCACACTTCTGCTGTTTGCACAGAGCCCTCAGGGGTTTTAGCATTACCTTCTGTGTACAGTAGTAACCAGTAGGTATGGGTTCAAATACTCCTGGGCAAAGACCTAACCGCAGTCTTTGCTCATAACTCTGATCATAACAGCTGACTTTTGCTAAATCTCCAATGCTAACATCAGCTTAGCTCTGCCTGATGAGAGTGCAAAAGTGGCACTTACTGCTGGAGCCAAAAATAATAAATGAGGGTGATATATTTCTCAGTCTGCTTCCAAAAAAAGGCAGTAAGAAGGTGGGGGAGGACCTGGAGTGGAGGGTAACATCACCACCAAGCTCTTGCTACAGCTCAGAATCCCTTTTCCCACAGCTTGGTTTTTGATTGGATTGTACAATAGTGGATTAATGAATTCCCCCTTGAGTACTTTAATCTAAAATTCAGATAAATTTGAACATAGCAGACATTTCAAGGCTTTTGGATATAGTTACCTTACAAACACTTCACCAATCTTCAGTCCTGGAGGCTAGTACTCACTTCTAGTTCAAAATTTGTAATGAAAATACCAGATAATACAAATATTAGCTTTTACACAATTCCTACCCCAGTGGAGTCACCCAGGTGTGACCTCAGATAGCTGCGTTTGCAAGAGTTGACATGGATTAAAAACATGTGGTTTCTTAATGCACTGACTTGTAACCATACCCTGGTCTGTCAATCCAGTTTTGGGAACAGCCTGATAGCACAGCCAGACTACTGATTACTATGTTGTTCATCAGCTCCTTAAATTAGAACGTACGGAGGGTAATAGCAACGCCATCTGCTGTTCATCATTCTCTATTATCTCAGACACTAAATAGTTTTCCTGTTGGAGGAGTAGGTATGTTCTCTTTGTGACCAAACATCTGCCTCTGATTTTTCAGTGGCTGTCAGCTTGTGAGTGAGGAGCTGAGGTAGGGACGTGGCAGGGGCACTAGGAGGACCAGTTGGAACTCAGTGTCATTGGCCTGGACCAGTGGCTTTTTCTGACTTCCTCTCCTTGAAGACACAAAGCATCCCTTAAACTCCTCATCATAGAGAAAAGCTTATAGTCCTTCAACACCCATAAGCACTCGTACCTTTGAACCTCATCGCCATGTGCATGAAGTTCCAGTAACTATGGCTGGAGAACATCATGGTGTGGTTCTTTTAAAACCGGCCTTTTCTCCTGACTGGATATTCACAGGGAAAGTGGTGGTTTTTGAGCAAAGACAACGATGAGCTTAAATTCTAGAGCTCCTACCTTGGAGCTGGCAGGAGTTGTGTCACTCTGCATTTAGACTATAATGAGAGCTTTAGCGGTCTAAGGCATCCAGTGCGCTTTCTCACCACAGGCTGGAAACCCCAAGAGGCCATAATGGGCTGGTCTCAGACGGGAGGTGCCAGGGATCGGGCCACTCCCAGTGCCAAAGCAACAGTAGCAGTACACAAATGCTGGTTGAAAAGGTTAAAAGTGCTGCTCTTTACTTTTTTTTTCATTTATTGGCTTTGTGGTTGCAGCTGTATTTTAAGTGCTATCGTCTCTTTACCGCCACCCTTTTTCACTTTCATCTACTGGCCAAAGTAATTTGAGGCTGCATTTCTCTCCTTTTTGGACTAGATCAGACTAAACTGTTTTTTTCTCTCTCTTGCTTCACACTCCCCCACACACAAACTTGATGAAGCAGAAAAACTGTCATGTCCCCTGTATTGTTCCAGACTAAATAGCTGCGGTTGTCCACCACAATGCTTATTTTGATGAAAAGATCTATATAGTCAATCAATGTATTTTATTGATTCATTATCACTAGATAATCACAGCAGCCAGACACTCATAGTTTAAGGTGACATCGTAGTGCTTTTGCTAGGCCGCAGGTCGTCCATTGTTCCGTCACTTCTGAGGTTCCTGCCTGTCTATTTCTGTCACCTGACTTATGAGTTAATATGATACGTTTGTATTTACGAAGATACATACATATGCACAGAGAGAGTGTGGCAGGCTAGGTCATACCAGTGAGCATTTAGGTGTACTTTATTGTTTTAAAGCCAAATTTC